CCCCAAAACCCCAAAACCCCAAAACCCCATCAGATTCATATTTATAAAATAATTCAATGGATGAATTGAGAGTAAGAGTTATAGGAATCCTCAAAAGCGAGTTTTAAAATAAGATCCTCAAAGTTCTCTCTTGAGAAATGAAAGCTAAAAGCTAAGGAATGCAATATAAAAGATAATCAATAAATTAATAGAAACTATTTTTAATAGCTGGAAACATCTACAACGCCATCTTTGATATATCTCCTAATCATAAAACCGATTCCTTTTAATAATAAGTGGATAAGCCTGATCAATGGTGAATCTCCAATATACAATAACTTGGATGAGGTTTCTCTTTTATCTCGCACTTACGTTATTTGAAATCAAGGGATATCTTAAGCTTGTTCCAAATACTTATGAGCATAATCTCAATTCTAGTATAGATCAATCGAATGGATAAAATCTTTCAAAGTTTTCAACAAGGATTATTGCCAGAAGAAAGCATAAGCGAGCAAACTGAGTAAGCCATGGCTGAGAATATCAATATTTTACCATAATGAGTGAAGATTCTTTAAGGCAAAATATCCAATATCTGTATTTCTTGTTTGAAAACTCTGATGAAATTCTTAGAAGAGAAGCTTTACAACTCTTTATATTGCAAATTTGAATCTGTGATATTTTTAATTAAAATCACAACAATTCTAGAGAAGAAAAGCAAGTTACTAGTATTCCAGATACCAAAGATCAGAACTTAAGCCCAAGGATTTCAGAGTAAGACAATAAAACAGAGATGCTGCGTAAACACAACATAGCATACATGAATGCTTGAAACAAGACTTGATCTTTGTTTATTAAAAATAGTTTAAACCCTTTATATGTAGGCACGAAACTTTGGTCTAAAATACGCTGGGAGTATCTTAGAAAAGGAAATCTTTCATTTATGCTTCTGTCCAAGTTATTATGTGCTTTTGAAGGTATAACTTCTTACATAGAAACAACATTCGAGTGTTTTTAAATCTCAAGCGCAATGTGGAAAAACCAGAGAGGACTAAAGATAAAATAATTACAAAATAAGTTAGCCAACAGTTCAGTTTTAAGTAAGCTTATGGCAATGTTCTTTACTGCGTATATTTTATTGTTTTTGAGTTAGGGAAAGTTAATTTATTTTCATTTATGGAAGCAAATGTACTAAATAGTCAAATTTGTATTACTCCATTCCTATCAAAGCTATTAAAGTTTTAGATGGAGCAACTATTGAAGAGGAAAATATCAAGAATGTTACAAAAATTCCCTATTTTCAAATGAAACTAGGTATTTTAGAATCACATGCAAACAGTACCTTTATATAGCTGGAGTTCTAAATTCTGGAACAGTGAATGAATACTCTTCAGGTATTTTCTTTATTAATATGTAGGAGCAAGAAATTCAAGAATCAATAAAAAGCCATTATCAAAGAACAGAAACTCCAAACTTTTGCAAGCAAAAATGTTTTTTCCAAATAAATGCCCTATTATTAAAACTTCTAAGCGAAGTGGAATGAAAGTAATGTCTGGTTTATATCAATAAATTACAATTCCACTTTAATTTAAGGCATAAAGATGGGATAAATTCTTCTTCAATTATGGGCCAAGTGTAGAACTTACAAATGCAAATCATCCAAGTTAATTATGTAAAGAGCTTTATTAACTCCCTTGGCGCTATAATGCACTTCATATAAATATTTTATTAGAAATTGCAATATCTGAGCAAATTAGTTTTCTTAAAGTCAATGATTACAACAAAATTTTGGTGAATTTCCTACATGTTAAGACATTCATTTATGCTGGAAGAGAACTTTACTCACTAACAGTGAAAAATATTAATGCTAAAAAAGTCGCCTGGAGGTATTATTTAGAATGCTCTATATCTCGAATGACTGAAAAAATATGACTACTCATAAGTGTAAAATAAAAAATTATAGCAATTCTGTTGATCAGTTTATCAAATTTAGCAGATGTAACAAGAATTAACTAAAGAAATTAACAAAACTAACCACATAGTTTTCAACAGAAGCTTTTTACTTGCATAATGACATGTTTTCTTCTCATCACTGCTAGAATTCAAATCAATGGAATAGTTTTGTGAAGAAAAATTGTTTATATTGATAAAGAAGAATAGTTGTGGCGAATCAAAATTTAACATATTTTTAATATTATAATACCTCATGGGTTAATTAATTAAATATTATTCCCACCAGAAGCCCAATTTATTTGAATGTTTGCAAGATCTCAATTTTATTTAAAAACATTTAAGTTTAAGCACTCTGTTCAAACTTTTCATATTTTGATCTATTCATAAATTTTAATCTAAATATTTTTATGCTTTCACCAAGATATTCACCCTCAGTCTATAACTAAAAATTCATGAGCATTTCAGCTTGAGCCATTCTGAACCAATGAGATAATAAAAATAAGGTCTTAGAGCCCATTATATTGTATACATCTGTGATGATCAATAAACATTCTTAAATTTTGTATTTAAAGTTAAGGAGCCTTAAGTCTTACACATCTTAATGATACTAAAACCTAATTGGTTATACTATAATTTACCAGAATTTTAATAAAAACCTAACTTATACATTGCCAAATCATTGCACAAGTCGGGTTGCTACAAATTAGTTTGGCTAATTCCTTTTAAGATAGGAAACACTTTGGAGATTATGACCAATATATTCAAACAAAGAATAGAAATATCAAAAACATTGGTGGAATTATAGTAATAAGACGGTCACCTTAATAAACCAACCATAATGGAGCATATATATCTATATATGCCAGGAGAATTAGTATTTAGATACCTTAGAGAAGTCTATGTCAACTTTCTTGTCAAATTGTTAACCCCAAATGTTACATATAACTATTTTTATTTGCATCATATTTAAAAGAAATCCCAAAGATTCAGATTCAAAAAGAAAGGAGTTAGATTTAAACCAGTTGATTAAAGTCCAAACAATAATTTTAGCTAGAAAGATATCTTCTTTGCTATAACGAGAGTATGAACTAGTTTCTCTATCAGATCCATTCTTTTAAATGTATTTATAGATGAAACAGAGTTGTATAAATAATGCAATTCAAAACAGACCAATCCAAGGATACTCGATTCACAATAAATTTAAAAGTAACCTGATTTAAAGAGATTGTTTATGTTCAAGACTAGATATGAGAACTCTAATTTCAGTCAATAGTATTTTGTTTTTATCTCCACAAATTAATGATTTACATAATTTTGTCTAGAATTCTGCAAAAAATTAAAAAGACAAAATAAAATAACTAACAAGGATAAAAAGCTGGATCCCAAACTTTATAGCAAGGATGCCCAAAAAGACTCAAAAAATTGACAAAGAATTTAACTCTGAACAGATTCAGATGCAGAACTCCAATAGTCATATTTTTACCAAACAGGGCTATTATCGTCCTGAAAATGGTACAAAGAATCATGCAAAACATGAAGCCCAAAGTGAAGATGATGTAGATAGTAAAATGAATCCACAGGATCTCAACCATTGATCCGTACTCTTGGCAATAATATTATAGAACCCTATGATAGGAATCAAAGTCAATATAACTTCAGAGAAATGCGAACCCTCTCGTGGAGCTAGGTTATTCGACCTAAAGCAAAATAATAGTTGTGATTATGAACATGCTCAAGTGGCCACATCTTATGATTTGTTTGTTGAAAACTCTAATGAAGACACAAACTCTAAAAAGATATATCAGAACATCCAACAAGAACAGAACCAGGATGACTTATCTCGTATTTTATTTAGAAGGTAAGCAACACATTGAAATGTTATAGAAGCTCCTCTTTTTCACAAAGAGCCCAGTCTGTTTTCTTGGAGCGTACAAAATTAGCAGAAAGTCAAAATGATCAATCGCAGTTGTAAGCAATTGGCTAACCCATAGAAATGCTATAGAAATATATTACTCCAATGTAGCAAAGAAGATAAGTAATTTGAGTATTAGTTCTCAGAAGAAGAGGCACCTCCAATACAATTATAACATACAAAAATATCAGCAACTTTTGACTGATCGAAATCCCACTGAATCTTCGGACCTGAAATCATCTAGAAGAACTAATTCTAACTTAGTAAATGATCCTTATAAAGAAGTTGAAGAGGCAAAGGTTTTACTTTAAAGTCATCCTTTAGGCCGCAAAGAGTCATAGTGATGCATCCAAGGTGTTAAACTATAGAAGAAGCAACTCCACTAACCATCAAAGAAACTGGAGCAGTGTAAGAAACCCATCTTAATTCTAGACTAACATTTTGATCAAAGATATCCCTGCTCAGAAACTAATAAAGCGTAGCAGATACAGGAGAGATCGGAATTGATTCCTAAACTCAAGAAGGAACTCTAATTCATATCTACCTTTTCTCAGCCAGATGTAAATGAATTCCTTGTTGATATGGCCCTTTTGCACCTGAAGTAATCAATTTCAAGGCATATCAAGACAAAACTGCTAGTGATCTTTAAGCAACAGATTCAAACAATTTTTAATGTCTAAAACAAGAATGAACACCAGCAATCTTTTAACTGTCTCTAAACTTTGTTGTACAGTGACTAACAATGTTAACTGTAAACTATTATCTTTAAAATTATTGGTTAGACTTTTAAAAGGGAGTTTGGAACTTATAGTCAAAATGATTCAACAGCTGATTTATATTCCAAATGTTCAATTTAATTTGATAATTCTGGGGTTTTGGGGTTTTGGGGTTTTGGGGTTTTGGGG